CAGCTCGAATCTTAGGTCTATTTTCTGCTTCGAGTGCTCTCTCGAAGGGAGTTTTCATGGTCTCGAAAGCTTCCTCCTCCTCTTCGTCTCCCCCGTCCTTCATCTCTGTATCTCCATCTTTCTCGTCTGCAGTCTTCTCAGCTTCTGCAGTATTACTTGGGATGGTAGCAGTTAACTCTCCAACAACATTATATTGAAACCACTTCGCGCCAGTCTTCGCCAGTTCCCGCTTAGCTATCTCTGCAATAGTAATGAGTTTGCCCGCGACAGGTGCTTTGGCAGATAAAAGCACGACGTGGGGTGCTGGATCCGAGAAGGAAAAGGTACTGAGGATCGAGAGGATACGCGAGGCTTTCTTTTGGATCTGCGAGGAGGAAAGGATGGACAATTCGGTTGTTCGGTGGGTGTGAGTTAGATCATGAGGGGCAGGGATTTGACGCTGCCCTCCGAGTTTGGAGGGTGCTGAGGTGACTGGGGCGGAGGAGGAAGCGTCATTCTGTACTCGATCTTGAGCGTCGGGAGCAACAGAAGGAGATTGATGAGAAGATAACTTGGCAACGGTTGGAGTTGCTCTTGCTTTTTTCGAGGGCCGATCTTGTTCCTGAAAGATGGAGGGGAAATTTCCTTTGTCTCTTGAGGCACCCTCTGCTAGTTCGCGTTTGCGCTTTTGATTCTCTCGAAAATCATGCCCCGCTTCGCCTCTGCGAGCTGCGCCCTTGGTTCGTGCCATTTTGTCCTTGCCGGTATTGGGGTTTGAAGTCGTGCTGTGTTATATCTTTGAGTATGACGATTGAGGTGGTGAACGTTCCAAGCTCGCAAGATGAGAAAAAGTATGGTAGCTTGGAGATATAGTCAAGGGATGAATGTGTCAGGTTCGCTAATGGAATGAAAACAAACCATGTAATAAAGAGTGAAGATATTATTTGTTTACCTTTCGAGAGAAGACTCTGGAAATATCACCTCGACATCTTGAGAGAACTCAAATTGAAGCATTATCCAGCCTTGGGTAAATTTTGGGCAGCGTTTGGAGAGCATCGGAGGTCGGAAGATTTTAATGAACCAATCAAAAGTCTAGAGTTGAGCATTTCACTCGCAGTCTAGCAGAGCGGCCGCATCCGCCGCGTCTTCATAGTTTCTAGACCCAGAGAGACTTCTCAATAGAAATAAATTCCCGTCAGTCATTCATAGCATATTGAAACTTATCAATTATGTTGTATTCCTTCATCCCTTCATCCCGTCATCTCTTCATCTTCATCATACAAAGTGCTGACAAGAATCTTCTTTGTACAGGAACCCGAAATTCATCGGGAAGTCCACAACTGTTTGTCCTGCAGATGTTGTAGAATCGTCCTGCAAGGCTAGACAAAATATCCCGATTCGTTGGGTTCGCAGTGACATTGTCCTGTCATGAAGAGGCGCATCATTTCTTCACACCGAGTATTACATGGATAAAAGCTATAGATTAGTTTGCTCTTTATCATCATCGGCGCTTGGTCAATATTGAATAGATAAGCACTTAAGCTTTCCCCCCTCATCAAAAAGACGAGTGGGGGTATTCTCACGGCATTGTCTCATGGATCAATTACTCCCGTTTCATATCTATAGCCTCGAAACCCTTATCTGTGTATGTTGTATGTTTACAAAAGTCTCGAATGTTTTCTCTTTCTATTGCTCTTTTGTTTCGTTTCGTTTTGTTGTGTGTTTAAGGCTACGCAAATGTCACTGTCACAAGCCTTGTGCATATCTGCCGGTACATGGTGTACAGTATCAAGCACGATGCAGGAAGGCATTACGAACGATTCCCCATGGGACCAAAAATGCGCAGCCTCCCGAAGAGGTTGATGTTCGATACACATCTAATAAAATCAAACAAGGGTGGTTGCCCAAGATAGTCTCAGATACAGCCGTTTGACTGGACCTTTCGGGAGCATCCACGCCTCTTTGCCCTGGTCTTAATTAAATCGTCAAGCCTGGACGAGCCAATATCAAGAAAAACGAGGACGCAAAGTAAGCAAAGAGTGTGTGGTCGTATCGGATATCTATTTGAGAAGTTTCTACGATATGATAGGAATGTAGGTTTATCCACGCGGCCTTCTTTCTTGTCTATTCGGGGATTCATGGGATTATTGCCAAAGGACCTTTTGTAGACAACGCACGGTTGTTAATGAAATGATTCTAATTTTGATATAAATCTGGGGCAGCCTTTTCAATATCCTTGGCTTACACTATTAGCATATGGTCGAGAACTTTATGAGTCAGTTTTAGAATAGTGGAAAAGTAACCCCCCTCCAAAGCTCAAAATGAACTAGGTTCAAGTACGTATGAAGTGTATACGCATTAAGCAGCGACCGAGTACGTGAATGATATGTAGACATATTGATGAAGTGGAAATGGCTTCAACACCGCAACATACATAAGAAACACATCACACCTAGTGGATTCCTCCCTTCATTTATATACCTAGGAGGTCGATTTCACATGTGCTTCACCTCTACTTCCTCTCCCCTTTTTCCATGTATGATCTACTTTTGGCATCATGCGATACATGGATGAAGTAGTACATCCCTCTTATTACCCATACATTTCGTGGGTCCAACATCTTGCATACGAAGATGGACATTGTCAAAAATGGGTCGTCCATGGAATCAAAGAAGGGATCGAGAATAGAAGATTATCCTTGAATAGCTTAGGTTGAAAGTACAATGGGCAGTAACCGGGATTACTTATCTTCATACCCAATGATGTTTCTTTATTTGTTCATTCCAAGATATTCCCCAAGCAATAATCAGACTCTAATCCCCGTCGTCATCCTTGCCACTCGGATTGTAATGTCGCATAAAAAAACGACGCTTAAATTAATTAATTATACACGGGCATTACGGGTGGTAGTCTGGGAGACATGGTGAGCATTATTCTTTTTATGGGTCCGCTGGGAACGAATTGGCTTGTTTGGAGCGAAGGTTGAATTGTATGGAGTGAGTGAGAGAGAGTTGAGTGATGGATGAGTGATGGATCATGGATGGATGGAGGGATGGAGTGATGAGCGATGAGTGATAATCGAAATGGAAAAAGAAAAGAGGGTCTTTGACCTCTTCCAGTGTAATCCGACTTCCCTACCTAGGTAGTCGAGGAGTAAGTAGTAGGTCGTAGTAGGTCGTAGTAGGTAATAGGTAATAGGTATGCAACAACACTTTTCCAACTTCAACCACTCAGCCAGGAATGAAAAGTTAGAAGTCTCATAGGCTTTCCCGTCCGTCCCTGATTAACGATTCTCTCTAGGTAATAAACAAACAAGCACTGATTCTTTGAATTTCTTATTATTCTAAGCCACCAACGAACACTTCTTCAACTTTTACCAAACACCTTTTGGATTTTATTTATCGTACAGATTGGAAAAATACCATTTACATCTATCTATCTTCCAGCTTTCAACCCCCCAAACAAGCAAGCAAGCAAGCAAGCAAGCAAAAAACAAGCAAAAAAGCAGCAAAACCAAACCACCACACCGTACTACAATATCTTACTCCGGATTTCCAACAATACTCCCCATCCCATACAATACTACGGATACGATACGGAGTGTACTCAACGAAACATATTGAAAACAAGTTACAACCTCATTTCTTCGCCATTCATATACGTACGACGTGATTTTATAAAATACCTTTTTTTATCATTCACTCTTCGACGTTCTTCTCTGTTATTTTACTTCAAGTGTTTTATTCTATTTGGAAATTCATTTGTAACAACAGAACCCAAAGCCAAGGAAACGAACCAAAATCATTCGACTTTCCCTTTCCCGCCGCTTTGTTTTACCTATCTATCGACCTGCCTAGGTATACTTGTTGTATTGTACTGTACCTACCTACGTACGTACCTACTTCTTTTACCGCTTGTCTGTTTCGACATACGACATACGACATACCGGTACCATCCATCACTTCATTCACACTTCTTATTACTTCATTTATTGTTAGAGAGTGCAAGGGCCATCTCACCATTCACCCATCCACTCATTCATTCATCGATTCATCCATCCACCCATCCACCCATCTATCCACTCACCCACTCAACCACTCGAGCCACTCTCCCCACCACACCCGTTGATTAATAAGTGTACACCACTACCACTACCACCACCAAAATCACTCACGTACCAACGAAAGCAAACGAAAGAACCAAGGAACGAATCAACGAGCCAACGAACAATCAATCGACTCTTATCGCCTCGTTCACGGCTCTTACCTACTTTGTCCATTTCATTATTTATCACCTTACTAGACACCGACCACCATCCACCCACTCCACCAGCCGACCTTACCTACTTTTATCCAAAATCAATACGTCAACTCCTTTCAAATTCCTAATATCCCTCCCTCTCGCTCAACGCACCCCCCATTGGAACTTCGCATCTCTCATACCTTACGACCGACCTTACTTACTACATACCTTTTTACTACCTACGGTCGCAACATTTCAATCAAAGACAAACCTTTCTACCCAACGACCACCACAACATAACTTTCCCTTCAAATTCAAATTCAAATTCAAATTCAAATTCAATCACGACAAAGCCAAAAATTCATACGGCATAATTTCAATTCTCACGCCAATCCTTCTTTTTATTTTACAATTTATTTTACACAACAATAAACTCTTGTAATTGATTTCAATTTTCGACCTGGCTTGTACATCTTATTAGACTTTCATTCCGTCACTTTTAGGGAGGTCCTTATCATAGCATCGACGTCAGTTCGCAAAGCTTTGCGCTTCAACCACCAGTGAATTTTGACTTTTAGTTCAACCATATTTTATAGCGCAAACTAGCCAACTATCAGCGCATTAAATCACCCGTTCAACAAAAGTAGTGCCCGGTCGCACATTCACTTAAATATCGCACTTTCCTCCTTCCCATTTATATGCGAATGTTTCGCCTGCCATCTTGGATCTCCGAATCCAGGGGTTGCGATCAAGTGTTAGATGGAGAAGTAAAATATAACATGGCAAACGCCGGTCTTTACGAATGCGCAAGTCCTACGAAACGAAAGAGAAGTAGTAGTCCGAACGCTCCGATACCCATCTTAACAAACACTCCATCGACGACGACGACGACGACTACCACAACATCTCAAGAAGTAAAACGGAGGAAGCGCGAAATGTCGGAGCAAGGCTGTCGGTCGCCTTCGTCGGCTGAAGATGTTGTAATGACGGATAATCAAGAACAGGCCGTCGATCTAGGTTTGGTTCGAGAAACAATCGAATCTCAACTCAGCCTCGAGATTCTCATGAAGCATAACGAGTTGCGCCTAATCGAAACAGAACTAGCAAAATGTCAAGTCTCTCTGGAACAGTTACGTCGCGCTCACTTGATACCATTCCCAGGCATACAAGGAGCGGAAGCGGAAGCTTCTTCCGAGTCGATGGTTAACGTTAGTACTGGTACGGGTCCAGCAGTCTGGAGTGGCGACAAAGTTCCCAAATGGGCTCCGCCGTATGGAATTACCGAAGGACCCTACACAAGACATTGGGCAAAATGGTTAATTCCCGACCCTGCTTTTGATGGTATTGATATTGTTGATTCACGTGCAGGTCCGGGGAGGCCACGCGCTGGCAAGTCGATACCAGAAGGAAGAGCTACTAGAAATAGTATCGCTGAAGGAGGTAATGTCTCATCTAAATCGAGATCTCGTGGATCTCACAGTTTGCAATCTCTTTCCACCGGTCATATTCAACCAAAGAAGTCTGGACCATGTATTCTCAAGCGGAGTGATGGTAAAACTGTGAAGCTTGTCTGCTTGGATTGCAATCGCGAAGATTTCTCCAGTACTCAAGGTTTTATCAATCATTGTCGCATTGCTCATCGTCGTGAATTCAAGAGTCATGAAGAAGCTGCTCAGACTAGCGGACATGTTATCGAAGTCGATGAAGCTGGTGCAGCTCCTGTTTTGGAGAAGAGTCCAAGTGCACCACCAACTAGAGATCCTGTTCATCCTCTCGTTAAAAGTGCGCCTGTCGATAAAGAAGCCTATACTGCTCTTCGGTCTCGCATCGAAGATTCTATGAATCTATATCTCCAAGGCAGGCTCCCTGGTGTGACTTCGATTCCTGGAAGTGCAACGTCATCACCACAAAAGCAACCCGTTGTGAAACCCAAAGTGCAACCTCCAAGGGAAAATTTCAAACCATCAACCGCCACACCTCATCTTTCCGAGTTACTGAAAAGCAGAGGCTTTGGTGGTGATCTTGATGAAATCGTTGGTGATGCGAAAACACGTATTGATATGGATGAACTTTTAGCATCTGAGGAGGAATCTTCTGATGATGAAGTGACTGAAGAATCAACTGCTGCTATACCTTCACGCCGTCCTGGTGGCTTTGATGGTTCAGTAGATACACCAATGACTGGTATGCGTATCCCAGCTCGGGCTACCATGTCACCAGCATATTTTGGTAGACCTACAAGCAGCAAAGGTATGGAGGCTTCCGGGAGACCTGGACAAGCTCATATCTCGCCTCGTCTAACTTTCGCTACCCTCAATACTTCTATGCCTGTATCGGAAACCAGAAATAACCGCCCGCAGCCTATCAATACTCGAGATCACGATCATGATGGAGATACTGATATGGGCATCCCCGATACATCTTCCATCATTGACCTAAGTCCAAACACGGTTGTTAGTAACAACGCTCCAAGTCTTGTTAGTGATGATGGTGAATACGACGAAGGTGATGATGATGCAGAGAGTGTATCATCAGGAGATGCTGACGAGGGTAGTGATGTCGCCGAAATCGATATCGAGGATGGAGACACCGAGAAAGTCGTCAGAGGAGCGGTGTTAGGGAGGAGTCAGGATCGCACCAAGAAAGATGATAAACATGTTACGTTCGTGAGAGAGGTTCCTGACGCCAATGGAACAAATAAGAAAGTGAGGCCGAGACAAGGATAGGGCAAGAATTAGGATGAGAATGGAATGGAATGAATAGCGAGCGTTGTATTCTTTGGTCATAACTGGTGATAGACATTTTTTTTTCATGGTGTGAATGATGGACTTGAAGTTTTTGACCTTTTTTCTTTCTTTTTTTTCTTCTTTTATCGGCAAGCGCTTTCTTCTCTACTCTTTATTTTATGATATTGCTTTTTCCCCCCCCTTCTACAGTTTTACAATTGGGGATGATGAGAAGTGAGGAGGATTACGATAGGATGGATTGGGTTAGGTTAGGTTGGGTTGGGTGGGAATGGGATTGATGAAATGAAACACGGTACTTTTCATGTGTATTGCGTATTGCATATTACAATTACAATTACAATGGCATTCGTTGAGTTTTGAGGGGTTATAGATATTAGGGTGGAGGTGTGGGGGTGGAGGAGGGGGAGGGGGAGGGTTTGATATGATTTGATGTGATGGGATGTGATGTGATGGGATGGGATTGAGGGAGGAGGGAAGGAGATTATTTTCATGAAAAGGAGAGGGGTTATGTGGTTATGGGGAATGGGGAATGAGGTGGGATGGAATGGGATGGAGGGAGGGTGCTTTATGATGGAGATAGGTATATTATAATAAAAATAATACATACATATATACATACACATATATATATTGATGAATTGAAGTGAAGTGAATTGAAATGAAATGAAATGAAATGATTAATAGATTTGAGATGGTGGGTTGTATACATAGATAGGTATGTGTATATGTACCTTAGTAGGGGTCGCTGGTTTTTTATATAAGTCGGGTACTCTACTTTCAGGCCACCCCCTTTTTGGGCTACCCTTTTATACCAAAAATCATTTTTTTTGGTTTATTGATATCTTTATCAAGATATCATATAATTTGATAAAAATTTACACATGTATATTTCAAATCGTTTTAAGCTTATTCTGAAATTTTTAGATTTTTTAGATTTTTCTATATTGAAATCTAGAGTTTTAAAATATCGATTTTTTTAATTTTTGTGGAAATTATATATAAATTTAAAACTATTATAAAATCTTTAATAATTTTTTAATAATAATTATTAGAAGAAATCTGTATATATTTTTAAAAGTTTTAAACTCAAATCTATATAGAAATTCAAAAAAAAATCAAAAAATCAATAGATATAGAGATATAGTATATAGTGAGTTTAGAGTAGTATAAATAATCTCTATCATTTTGAGGATACTTCTTTAAATATTTATTTATAAGAAATTTTCTTTTTTTCCTGAATCTATTAAGTTAATATACTATAAATTTATAATAAAATTGTATAGTTTATTTTTGGTAATTTTTATTAGAAAGAGAAAAGACGTATAGAGTAGGTAGATTATTAGTATTAAGTGTAGTACGTATTCTCTTGAAAGCTATATATAATCCAGTTGAGTATATCAACCAAAGTGATTACCTAATACGCCTAATGCGTTTAGCCCGCTTTCTGAAAGTTATTAAAGATTTTATATTGAATTTCTTTTCGTATCTAGATATTAACTTTGCTACTATAGAGTAGATATCTTATTTATCTTTCTAGGAAAGACTAGCTCTGGGGTTTGGATAAGGGGTTTCTTAAAGGAGGTATGTGTGTGATTTATTATTATGCGTTTAGGAATCTATATAATCTTTTGGGGAAAAAATCAAAGTTAGTAGAATGCCTTACTGGGATGAGAATCTTTTGTATTTGATTTTGGTAGTAAATTCAACGAGTGATTGCTTGGAAGCATGTACACTAGCATCGATATTTACTACTAGCACAATTAATGATGCTTAACCAATTCATAATGAAGTTCCTGAAGAACGACTTTCTTTTTGATGTCCACCGGTGCCTCGCTTGTCAATAAGTGAGTGTTGTATCCCCAGATCTTGTACATGTGAGGTTTTTTTGGATTTTTAAGCTGATATAGGTACACAGCTATGTGCCAAATAGTCTTCTTGCATCTCAAAGGTTTGAATCACTTTCATCGGGTGCGGAGCTGAATCCTGGAGGGAGATGTATGTATGGAGTTGGGGGTCTTTGTTCTTTTTGAGTTGAGTTGGACATTGGATTGTGGGATGTATAAAGGAAGTCAACAGGTAGGAGGAAAGGGGGAGCTTGGGAAGGTTGAGGAGAGGATGGGATGGAACGAAAAGGTTGTTAGAGAAGGAGAATGAGTGTATTGGAGTTGTTATTGTTACTAATGTGTCTTGAGAGTCGAAGAAGTATGTGGGAGATTGATGAGTGGGGGGTATGGAAGATAAGGAGGAGATTGAGAGAAGAGGAGGTAGAGAGAAGAGGAGGTAGAGAGAAGAGGAGGTAGAGAGAAGAGGAGGTAGAGAAGAGGAGGTAGAGAGAAGAGAAAATAGAGAGAAGAGAAGGTAAAAAGAAGAGGAGGTAGAGAGAAAAGAAGATAGAAAGAAGAAGAGATAGAGAGAAGAGGAGGTAGAAAAAAGAGAAGATAAAAAGAAAAAGAGATAGAGAAAAAAGTAGGTAGAAAGAAAAGAAGATAGAGAGAAAAGGAAATAAAGAGAAGAGGAGGTTGAGAGAAGAGGAGGTAGAGAGACAGGTAAGAGAGATGAATGAACTTATGTAGAAAGAAAAAAGTTTACCACAAAAATCAAGCCTCTTATAATTTCCCAGAAACACAATCAAAATAGGAACCAAAAATCACTTTAATTCACAAAAGACCAAAAACTCGAAGCAGAAGCTTGTAAGTAATACCCGGGCCCAGGCAATCTTATATTCTATCTAAACTGCAAGCGATTTCCATGTATCCAGTACATGAGAAAAGCTCTAACTTCTAACTCTATCATATCCCATCCCAAACACACAAATGAAAACAATGACACATAAAAAGGAAATCTATCATACAACATCCTCCGATCACCAACTCTTTGCTCAGTTTCTCAGTTCGCATTTCGTACTTTCTTTCTTGTAGCTGAGAGATGGGGAATTTGGATTGTCGTTGTTGTCGTTGTCGTTGCGAGAAGAGAAGAGAAGAAGTGCAAGGAAAATAGTTAAATCTCCTCGAGTTCATTCAGACTCTAAGATCGAAATTCCCCACCCCTGAAATCCAAATCAAGACAGAAAAGAGATCATCCACATCAAAACCTTAAATCCAAACACATCCTGTACCCTTTTGACCGCAAACAAGCTAAATCACAGATCACAATTAGCCATCTTCTTTCACTCCAATCGTATACATCACAAAAGCAAGAAAACAGGAAATACTTACCACTTGCTTATAAGCCATTTCGGGACACATAACCACATCACAATCTCCAGATTGTCCGAAGCAGCGACAATTGGTTTGTCCGACTACTTTGCCATTGTTGCAGAATCCAACGACGTTACCGCAAGAGCAGGAGGTGGCACAATCGTTGCCGCGAGAATCGAGGGTGTTGGTGTTGGGACTTGAGGGCATGGCGAGGGTGTTGGTGAGGAAGAGGGCGAGGAGTGGGAAGGTGATGGTGGAGAATTGCATTTTGATGGTTTTGGGTGGTGGTAATTGTTGTGTGGTGGTGAAGATATTGGAAGTCTGTTGTGGATTGGATTGAATCTTGTTATTGATGATGATGTTGATGTTGATGATGTAGAAAGTAATTCCGACAGTTTCATCTCAGCACTTATATACATTTCCATCTCATCTCGAACCTTTCAATCATCACATACAACTTACAACATACAGTATCCATCGACACGATACTATTCTCCTCAACAACACAATCCTCACAGCTAAGCCAGACCCGCGATGACAGGATCGGGAATTCGTAAAACTCCCATCTCCAATGTACGTAGCTACGTACCGATTTGGATTTCTCCGAATCATCTTTCCGCTGTCTGCGTGCATGGCCGAGCATGCTTTTACACAATCCATGAGCCGCAACTTCGTACTGCTTATCGTGTAAGTTGTTCTGGGCTTTCACGTACATGCGGTCGATTCCCTCGACCTCGTGATGAGGTTGTTCATTTGGTCTTGGTCTTGTAAGATTACGATACAATGCGAACATAACGTGACATATATTTCGAAACTCGCAAGGAGGAATTCCACCAGCGCTTACTGAAGAAGCGCTTTACGGGCAACCCGTCAAGCTGTTTTGATCTTTTTGATGGTGGGCAATCGGCGATGACGGTTTAAACGTTGTTAATATTTCTTCTGAGATTGCTGTAGATATCAATGGTCGGGAAATAATATCATAGTTCTCAACCGACTCCTCTCATCCCCCAAAGTCACATCAATTCCACCGAACCAACCCCATGGAAAGCATTCGCTAGTCCCACTCCTGTAAATTTAGCGTTGAGATCTCAATTGCAATTAACTCGTAGGAAACATCTAGATGACACCGAGACCTCCATTCCGTGCAATAATGTGCATCCGCATCCACTATTGCATAACTACCACTCCGCCCATTGAAACTCGTGGGAATTAAGGGATATTCCCCGCGACCCAAACCAGCTGGCGAACTATCGCAAGCGCTGAGCCCGAGTTCCCGGATTACCGCCAGGATCTGAGTGTGGATTGGGGAACGGGGTTTGTTTGGTCGGCTAGTGGGCGCTTAGAGATTCTTCGTTGATGATGACAATGGACAGGTTAGTAAGACGGGAAATTGGGAATGGGGATGTAGGGCTGGAAATAAGGTTGATTTTTAACTATGCGAAATACGAGGCTGGTGAGCTTACATTTAAGGTTAATTGAGAACGGGTAGATGAATGGATGGATGGATGTGGGGAGTTTTCCTTGGCTTGTTCGTAGATGTGGATGTTTGGCGGCTAATTTTACATGATGCTAAGATGATTGATATGGAAGGTGTACTCTGTTATGGGAAAGCGTGGAAGAGTGGTGCTAGAAGGTTTATTGAGATGGGGAGATCCATTGGAAGAATTGAGTCAATTTTAGGTTTGTGGAGATATTGATGTGAGGAGGTTGACGTTTTTCGGCTATCATGTACATGCGTGTGTCAATTTCCAAGACCAGAAATCCACGGCAGCAGAAACGCCCGCAAGGCTCACAGATATGTATCACTCTCTAGGTGTGGTAGCATGTAAATACGAGGAGGAAAACAAAATTCGATCCCTGATGTAAATGCAAAATAGCTCCGACTAGCTTTAGTTCACTCCTAGATACTATTTACTATTTCATAACACTACATATTCAAGAGCTGTAGATACCACAAACTATGATACGGTTTCTTTCCGCATTCGAATTTGAGTAAAACCCAAATGTATTCGTTAAACCACAACTTCCCGCCCCCAAAAAACCAAGTATCTTGATAGCCATGCTGTGGCGTATACGACTCCTACTTCAAACTCTAATCCATAATAACTAGTCCATATGATCTCCAGCGGGAATTTCCTTGGCTTTGCGTGATAGACCTTCATCCAACCCACCACTTCCAGAAATCCCACCCAACATCTTTGATATTCGCACAACTACACCTGGGGTAAATGAATGTTAGATTTAGCTCTAAAACTAAGGTATTGATCATTTCTGGGCTTTCTATTTCTCCACTTTTGAGCCTGATGGAAGGGAGTGGGGGCATCTTGAGGTTTAAGTTCCTATACTGGATGTTGGGGGAAGTCGAAATAAGCGCTACGTTTATGATCACTCCTGCTCGAGCTTCTAGAACGAATGCACATATCCACTTTTGTTGTAATAGGAATTATTCGATGGGGTTTTTTCTATTAGCTGTATGTATATATGAAGTTGGGAGTAAACATCTGCGATGCGACATCTATTGATAGCTTGACTTATTTTGTCATAGTACTCCATTTACTCCTTACTCTTTACTTTTCATTCTATGTCACGGCTTTGTATAGATCTGTGTTTTTGAACCTTCATACCTATCCACATCTTTACTGATGATAATTTATCATGAATAATAGTTTTCAAAGTTGACTAACCCTCCCATTTCACGGGGTATTTCCTTTTTGAACCTTCAGTGTCACCAAGTGCTCTATCTCGTCACCTCTCACCTCTTATATTCATTCATCCCCTTACTCCTCCCCCCCCTCTTTTTCACCACTCTCCTCACCAGAAACTTCCCTCTCACCTGAGAGAATGCTCCTCCATAACTATCTATTTCTTGTTTAGTGCAGAGATAATAAAAAACGTAAAGAATCACAGAATCACACTACAACACGCTTGAGAAATTTAAACTCATCAATTAAGGCTTTCACTTGGTTCAAGCACGATATTCTCTAGAAATATTTGATGTCTGATTGCCATGAGTAATTTGATGACAAGCGAATACAAAATGTAATCTTCTTCTCTAATTCCAATATCTTTTCCCGAACCTAAGATATCTTTCCATTTCACAGTAGCGCATCAAAATTTTATCACCCATGTTGAAAATCTTCTATGCTGTTGAGTATTCTTCAGAAAATAAATATTGTACTTGTACAACTCCAGTACAGGATTGAGGAGCATCGAGGATATAGAGTATATATATAAGCAGGGAGTGACTTAGCAATTAGCGAGGAGCCGATTTCTCTTGACAAGCAAAGCGGGATAATGAGCAAGAGATTGAGTATAGAAATTCATAAGATAGAAATTCAAGCCTCGATAAAATAAACCAGTATATTCATAGTCCGAGTCGTGGAGAATTTTCAACTGTACAAAGGAGATCCATAATGCTCCACCCGTAGTTCTTCCCGAATTTCATATCATGCAATGGAACCCTTTCTTGAGCCGGAGCAGCGGCTAGTTATTGGCAAAGAGAAAAACGCACGGCGTTGAGATGTATCTGAATTCTGCAAACCATAATATAGTGTACTTCCCACCCGAGAGATTGTAATGGGGAAAATGGAGATAGCGATGCAAAAGAAGTGAGAGGGACTAATATAAATAATCAAAAAGAAAGAGAGAAAAAGGGGGATAGTAAAATTCTCGTGACAAGTTTCCTAGGATGGAATTCCTAAACGTCATGTAAAAATGTTTGTCGAAACGTGCATACGCACTACTAATCTGATAATTCCTTCATATGAATTCCTCGATTAATGATGAGTTCCTTTAAACGTCAGTTCTCAGTTCCTGTCCATTAAGTAAATACCAACACCTCTCCATTCATCATCCACACTCCACCCACCTCTTCCCCTTCCATCATTCCAATACAACACACAAACTCCAATCACATCAGATCAGATCAACAACAAACCAGCAACCGTCCCCCCACACAAAAAAAGATGAATTCCTCCAAAAGCGTTCGAATGAGAGAAAAACATAGGCGGAGAAAAAATATCATTATGCAGATGAGGAGAAGCTTGAGATTAGTGCATATGAACATTTTCTTGTTTGAGGGTGGAATTAGATAGCCAGGCGGGCAGGTGATAAGGTTTGGAGGTTTGGCGTGGTGTTCGGGATGAGTAGTTTTGATATTCAATACTTAATGGTTATATGAATGAAGTGATGATATGTGATATACAATATAGAACTAGATAATAGACATTTTTTTTTTACGACGAAGACTGGAGACTAGATGAAATACATATACACATACATCTCAAATTCTCCCCTTCGAACCTCAACCCGACGTATCGGGTTGATTCTAGAAGCCTATTGGTCTGAGACATATGGTGACTGAGTATAGCTACATATAACACAATTTTTTTTTGAGGGTTTGAGAATTGAGACGGCTGAGATGCTTGTCTCAAACTTGGATATGAGAGATGAATATTCAGGATGGGTATACTATCGTATCACGCTAGAAGATTCGATGGGAGGTCAAGATACTCAGAGCGCTAGTTGGTAGGCCATGTTTGCTATTGTCTTTCTTTCGAAAGATATTGGGATCTCATGGGACAGAACGAACTCGTCGAAGTGACAGGTTAAACTTTCAAACTTCTAAACATTTGTGGTTTGCCGAAAGAGATTGGTAATTTCAATTCTAGAAAACTGGTCAGAAATGCTCAATTCTGTATGTGTATTGTACGCACTGAAATATTGATGATGGTGATGATGACGATGATAGACATGAAAGATCAACGGAATAAGCGAGAGACGAACGTAATGTATCTGGGAAATGGTGTTCTACTGTTTGTAACGCACGAAATAGATATTGAATCCCGTTGCAAGCCAGAATTGAATCATCAAAATGAAATCTCTCATACAATTTCAATAACGCCTATCTATGAAATGGTCCAATTTATCCCTCGCTCCATCGTGACTTGCTCCAAGAATTGATAGGCTTGCCAACTCCAAGTATAAGATCATAACACATCTTCAAACTTGTGACTTTCCCAGAAACAGGAGGTCAAACAGCATATCTGTCTGTCTTACTACCAATTGGCGAACCCGTTCGGCACTCTGATACCGCGTGAGTTGTCTCATTTCGACGACCCATGTTTTTCTTGCGGATTCCTTAAATTTGTCAGCACAGATGAAGTCAAACAATCCAGGTGATCAAGGGTAGCATCGTACCCAGCATAATAATCTCGCACAATAACGCTCGCCTCCGAATCCATCATAATATGCCAGTTGTGACTTTCGACTTCCCATGGCATACTTTCGAGTCCGTGATGCATATTGCACAAAGCGCTGTGCGTAAGACGAGTTTTTGATTTTATCCAGGTCCCTTCTGGAATCTCAGAACGTTGCCATGTTTCCTTCGCTCGCTGATCTAAATCCTTAAGATGATCAAGGCATTCTTGGTAAGCTGTATGTGGAGGATTGAATTTGCGAAAAATGATTGCACAAATTGGAATTGTTGCGCCTCCGATAAAGGCCAATACATTTTGAAAAGCAACCATCTTTGTCAAAGGTGGACGATGGGTAATTTAACTCTGTGATTCTTGAAAAAATGGCGGATGATGGTTGCAGAGGATTAGAGACGAAGAGCCGGATAAGTTGATAAGAGTGAATGGTGTGAGATTTGATTTGCAGTCGTTACAAGTGCGTAGTACTAGTGATGGAAGGCAAAGATGGTGAGTTTAGTAAAGACTGCAAACCATGAAGATGAGATGCGATATATATGCAAAGATCGGGCTTTGACATGCGATTCCAATACGTGCCTCGATCGTCTCGAAGCCGAATATGCCAGTAGAATTGAGGCAAGACAGCTTCTCGAACCCCAGCTTCCCTCAAAAGATGTTGCTAGAACTGGTGTTTTGTTTGAATGAGGAGCTAACGCATCCTAGTGGGTGTTCCACCGACTTCTAGATTTGGAAAGAAAATGGAAATAGAAACACTAGTAGCCGAAAAACTCGATGGGCGAGAAAAAGACACAGCAGAAGAGGGAAAGATGAAGAATCAGAAGGTTAGCAATTCGATGAAGTAGTATGTGTGATAAAGAAAATGTCTGAAAGTGCTAGATAAGGAAGGGATAGTTGCTCCATATCCGTGCCGTTGACTGTTAGTCACGTTTCCACAAGAAAAGACTCATGAATTCCATTCAATTAACCATACCTACGGCCTGGCCCGCGCAATTCGATACCGGCATATCTCAAAGCTATACAAGAGGCAATTGCTTGATGGGAGAACCTGCTTGAATAAATAGAAACCTTGAAGTAAAACTCTCCATCTTACAAAACATAGACCGCCTCAGCTTTTCGTGACGTACAGTACATATGTATTGTAACGTCTTCTACATTTTTCATCAAAATGGATGTTAATATCTTCCTTGCCTGCCGAATCATTTATTGGTGGCAACATTTCGACATCCCCAAAGTTCTATTCTTTTTCTCTTGAAGCCAACTTGGTGGTTCCACATGGCAGAAACTTTTGAAATGTCTTCTTGTACCTGCCAGATTTCTTTTAGATGGAATAAGAGAATCGACACATTCCTTGATGTTCTCGAAAGATGGATTTGCTAGATATTGAAATACCTTCTTGACAGGCAAGACTAACACTGGACTTCCAAGTAGAGATGCTTCAGAGCTAGGGATTTTCTTTTACCTTCGATTCAATTCTCCCTTCTTCTAAAGATGGATTTCCTATGGTCGCACCGGGAGGTATCACGATGTAGTCCTTCGGTTGTTTGGAGAAAACTCCGTAGAGTTTCACATCATGATCATCCGCCTTGAGTTGATCAAGATCCATAGAACCACTCGATCCAACATTATTGACAGCATGAAACCCTGCCTGGAACTGGGTAGAGCACGAATGATGATACAATCTCACTCAGCGCGGGTGGTAACGGATGAAGGTGACTTGTCAAACGATTGTTATGCATATACCGGAAGCTCAGCGAAGTTTCCCCAGCTTTGTTGTTTTTCAGGGAAAAATTGGGTGCAGGGATTGCTATGACAGATGACACCACCCCCCACCAAAATCAAACGAACAAATTGTTGTCGAGATACTCGTATACTCGTATCAATCGATTAATGCCACTTTATCAATACATTTGTTTATTGAAAGATCAAAAAGAAAAGACTCACGATTGTATTCTGCCCGTGCAGAATGAATGACGATGAATGTTTGCACTGCCAAACCTACCTAAAGACGTAAGTAGAGGAAAGGAACAGATCGTAGCGATTGAGTTATCCAAAATGTACTAGGTATATCTGAGCGCGGCGTGGTCTATTCAGTTCTTCCGAAAGCTAAACAGTCAAAAGGGTCCACCCGGTGAACGGGTCCAGACTGCTCTCAAACGAAATGTGAATTAATTGATAAATGTAGGTTGGGAATTCCAATGACAAATATTGCTACCAGGTAGGTGGATAAGTTCAGAGCTTATCATAGGTACCAGTATCATAGTATGACCTTATGATAGATATCAATTGGTAGAACGCATATGACAAAATGTTCCAAGAACGTCGTAGCCGTCAGTAAGATCAGAATTGTAAAAACGAGATATGGTCTTACATGTATATATATTCGATTGTGGTTCTGAATAGCCACAGGTGTAATCATGATGTTCAAGCTTTCGAGGGTCTCGCTGTTTGAGCTTCTGAAGATACTCACTCGTCTATTATGGGTTAGATTGCCACTGGTGGGAGGATTTTCACCGTCACTATCATTGAAACCTTACCAGATACATTCGTTGTTATTGACTACCAATTAATTGATGGGGGCAAGCCCCCAAACCCCCATAGCTCGCTGCGCTCGAAGATTTGAGATTTCATTATGTGGTGTCTTGTGTGTAGTCGAGTGAGGGTCTGGTAGCTTTTCACGATGTTAACCTTAGCATCTTCGAATGGAATAAGATGCAGAAAGAGATGAATGCAAATTGGAAAGATATATCCTATGAGCCTTTGCGCCATGTACCCTAGGTAGCTAGGTAGGTCTTAGATATACTAGATACAATACAATAAACAAAACCCTTTTGTGAAAACCACCAATTAGCTAGCTAGCTGTCTACCCACACCACATACCTACATATACCTACCTACACCGAGGTCTTCTTACCAAGCCATTTACCCCGAAAAACAAGCTCACATTCACTCCCATTCACTCATACGCACCTTAATTATACCTTCCCTCCCTTCTTACCCAACCCTACCAAAAGAATCGATCCTTCCTATTTCCCCCCACTCTATCACGGTTTATTACTCTTTATGGATAAATAGGCGAGCTTCCCTTAGCGTCCTTTGCTCTTCTGCTCCGTGGATTCGTTAATACAGCAAGCCAAAGGCAAAGAGGCAAGGCAAGGCAGGAAAAGGCAAAGAAAGCGTCATTTTTAGTAACATCACCTTTCTCTTCCCTCCTCCAAAAAACTGCACGCGATCTGCAAAAGAATAAAGACAATTCTACCCAAATCTTTACATTCCCATTAAATAAGATTTTCAATCCACCAGATCTCGATAATTATTTCTCTTATAGATAATACCAAGGTATTTCTTCTATCTATAACCTCTTCCGCCTTCCCTACCAAGAAAATTACGACCCCGCATCCCACCCATACCTCTTTGCAATCTCTGTCAAGGAACACCACGCGAAGATCTCGAAATCTTGTTGAGAGAAGGATCTGAATTGTTTGTCGGATTTCTGTAGAAAGGTTTGAGATCTATCTTCAAGATGGGTCAGACTCTTTCGGAGCCCGTCGTGGAGAAGGTATGTTTGTTCGCTTTATCTGTTTACTGTGTCATTGTCGGCGCCGGTCTTTCGTGCCAAGGTATCGCATACCTGGTATGACATGCTGGCGTGGAAATACTTCTGCGTCGCGCAGTAATATAGAGACTCTATGTAATTTGTTCAATGAGCACAACCTTCCTACAAAAATATTCCGTGAAGACTCGATTTTCAGCTGCAATTCCACCGCCAACCTCTTTCTGCCACCACTGCCTATGGTTACTAACATGGCTTTCTCTATTAGCATTCAGCTACCGGAGGCGATGAGAGATTACTTTATGGTGTCTCTTCCATGCAGGGATGGAGAATCAGCATGGAGGACGCGCACGCGACTATCCTCGATTTACAACATACAAAAGGACAGGAATTGAAGCCAGCTCCAATCGATAGCAGACTCTCATTCTTCGGTGTTTACGATGGACATGGAGGAGACCGGGTCGCACTTTTTGCAGGAGAAAATATACACCAGATCATCGCAAAACAGGAAGCATTCCAGAAGGGTGATATTGAACAAGCTTTGAAGGATGGCTTCCTTGCAACAGACAGAGCAATCTTGATGGGTTAGAACAACATCATCCTTCTACCATACAGGAATACTGATTTGAGTCATAGATCCAAGATACGAGGAGGAAGTTTCTGGCTGTACCGCATCCGTTGGCATAATTTCGCACAAGAAGATCTATGTGGTAGGTTATATCAGGCAAAAGACACCGAAATATGCTTACTGTTCATAAGGGAAACGCCGGAGACTCAAGAAGCGTTTTAGGAGTCAAGGGTCGCGCCAAGCCTCTGTCATTCGACCACAAGCCGCAAAACGAAGGTAGCTTCTCATGATATTGGCGATGGACTGCACAAAATACTAATATACATCTGTGCAGGCGAAAAAGCCAGAATTAATGCGGCTGGAGGCTTCGTCGATTTCGGTCGTGTCAATGGCAACCTTGCATTATCAAGAGCCATTGGTGACTTTGAGTTCAAAAAGAGCGCAGAGCTTTCGCCTGAGCAGCAGATCGTCACTGCATTCCCCGATGTTACTGTACACGATATTACAGACGATGACGAGTTTTTAGTGGTCGCTTGTGATGGTCAGTAGCTTACGACGAGTCAATGAGAACAACGAGGCTAACTCGATCTTTAGGTATCTGGGATTGCCAATCATCCCAAGCTGTTATCGAGTTTGTTCGACGAGGCATTGTTGCCAAGCAAGATTTATCTAAAATCTGCGAGAACATGATGGATAACTGTTTAGCATCCAATTCGGAAACTGGTGGTGTTGGTTGTGATAACATGACCATGATTGTTATTGGTCTCTTGAACGGCAAGACTAAGGAAGAGTGGTACGATGAAATCGCGAAGCGTGTTGCGAATGGAGATGGTCCATGTGCCCCTCCGGAGTATGGCGAGTACTCCGCTGATTTCCAATATTAGAATATTTCCTAACACATTTAATAGCTGAATTTCGTGGACCTGGTGTTCATCATAACTTTGATGATAGTGACAGTGGCTATGATGTTGATATGGACCAGAAGCTTAAGTCTTTCGGTGGGAACCCACGTGGACGGATCATTCTTCTTGGAGATGGTACAGAAGTCCTCACTGATTCCGATGATACAGAGATGTTCGATCATAGTGAGGAAGACAAGGATCTCGCCAGCCAAGTCCCAAAGGGACAGCCTCATTCCGAAGTTCCCGAATCCGATGCCCTACCCGAAAAGATTGACCCGAAAGAGCCCAAGTATCAGGCAGTCGTAGACGAAGTTTTACCAAAATCGAGCAAAGCGGAAGAGAAGTAGGAGTAATTTGGGTATAATTGGTATATCTTTCAAGATTTATGAAGTGAAAGATGAAGGAAGGGGAGGATGTTGAAATGAAGATGTTAATGACTCGATAAATTATGCAAATCAGATTCATCTTGATGAATGACTATTTTTGCGACGATATCTGGAATAGAAGGGGTTGCGAATTGTGTGCATTTTTCTAAGCATAACGTGAGATAAATTCACGCATTGCAATGTCTCCTGCAAATCTTCATGACTGCTGGGAGGAAATGGGGAGTATGGAGTGGGGAAGGTATAAAGGTCATGAAAACTTTATATCTAGTAAACATGATAGAGATGCCCAGGGTGTGGTGGCTTCTCCTTCGACATGAAATTTTCTGAACTTACGATCTTCATACTCAGCGAGTCATATTATCATGATGATGAGTCCGTTTCTTTCTCTTCTTCAATTTTACATTACAGATCTCTTATAGGAAGGGTCTCTAGACTAAGGCCGAGTTACAATGTACCTTGAAAATTATCAATTGACATCCTCCTGACCAAAGCGTTTTTACGAGTTCATCTAATGTTTCTAAATTGAATGTGTTTGCATGTTCGCAGGTTTGTTAAGTTGCAGATGGCCCCCTCTTTTACGCCCCAAGGTGGCTCCAAAGACGTAGCGAATAGATAGCTAGCAGAGTGATGAAGTGTCTAATCGAATGGAATCGAATCGTTGGCATTGCTTTGTACTTGGACTGGACCCATTGCATTGCAGTAGATGGGGGGGAATAGATCATAGGTCACAGCTTTGAAGTGGAGAAAGAGTATGTTTTACCCTTGAGACTAAGAGATGCGGTCAATGATAATACTGCCTGCAATGATATA